TCTGCTTACATTTCTTATTCTTATGTAAAATGGAGATAATAAGAGTATCTTTCTCTTAGTCCAAAAGAACCTGGCACATGGAAAGTACCACTGCTGCTGCAACTACTATTACTGCTGCTGCTGTTGTTATTGTATCCATACCACATCTCGCCAGAATCTTCTCTTACATACCCCAAACATACCACTGTCTTTGCTGAATCATTGAGTCTGGAATATGTTGAAAGAGAGTCACATTTATGTTTTCATTCTTGGTTATAGCCAGAAGGCTGAGAAGTGATAATGTAGACATATTTCTAAATGAAAGAGTGAAGATACAAATTAAAACCAAACTAGGAGTTAAAGTGATTTGACAGTATTCCTGTTTAAGAATCTTTTCTGCACTGCTCCTCCTGTCCCACATTTATTTTGCGGAAGATACTGGTTTTTCTTTTTAACTTAAACCTTAGCATCAAGGGCATGTGACTTGTACTTCATTTTGATTGTGTAAGATTTTCCTTGGCAATGCTGCTGATCTATGCCAAAAGTCTGGGATGTGTGCACCATTTCTGTGCAAGTTTCTGATTGAACTAGGCTTAATTAGATCCTCTTTTCTTTTGTTTTTCTCTTTAAAATCTTGGAAACCATTTTGTTGTTGCTAGGTTGTAAGGCTGAACATGTTTGCTTAAGTAAATCTCTTGGGATCTAATCTGGCATCCACTCAGGTCTTGTTAAATGAGAGCTTTAAAAGCCTCTTGCTGAATGGACTCCATCATGTTGACCAAATGTTTCAAGATGTAGGCACAAAGTGCTTTTTTTCAGTTTTCCAAGTGTAGTGTAATTTTGAAGTAATTTTGAGTTTCTATTTTAAAAGATTAAAAAACACAGGAGTGGCAAGTTTAACAAGGTCACGGTCATTTTGTTTCTTTGTAAATTTCTGCTGCCCATCTGGTTTACTTGGAAGCAATGGTGAACTTACGTGACTGTTTTTATCTGTAAGAGGCAGCACGATTTTTCTCTTCATATAAAGCAACTAGGTAGCAGTTGTCTTCTTCCAATGGATATGTAAAAAGGGGATGCAGTCCCTTCAGATTATTCTTGGCTCTTCACCCCCTCCTCATCCAGGAAAGCAGATTTTTGTTTTCATTAAACAGATTTTTAATTTAAGCAGATTTTAAATTTATTCAGTCATCTGTTTTTTATATTATGTACCCACCATTGATGCATACTGGCATACAGATAAATCAAAGTTAAATTCAGAGAAATTGGCTGCAAGCATTCTTAAAGACTATATTGTGCTATACACAGAAATCAATTTTCTGTAGTCAAAATTGAGATAATAGAAAAGTAGAATTATCTTAATTCATAATAGTATAAGTATGAGGCAGTTGGAATTAGCAGGAGATCTGTCTGGGGCAGCCTTGACAGTCAGAGCAGAGCCATGTCCCAGAGTCAGCTAGGCCAATGACCGTCCACAGTTGTGGAGGTGTTGAAAACCTGCACAGTGAAAGTCCTGCTTATGCTATGCATTTGTGCTGAATCATTGCATGTACTTCCGTTCCCCTCAGCTCCTTTTCATGGGAACCATACCTTCTTAGAACTTAGATTATTAAATATGAAAAATAGCTCTGCCTAAGTTTCCTTTTTACTTTGGAGATAGGAACCCTGAAAGATAACGCAAATCACTATTCTTATTTTATAGATTTGGCAACTGAAGCTAGAGAGACATTACGTGGTTTACACAAAATCACTCATGACTTATTGGCTGAGCTGCAACTAAGCCTGGGTCTCTGGCTTCTCAAATTAGTATTCGTTTCACTGATCCATGCTGCCTTTGCTTATCCATTCAATTAGCAAATGTAATTGAAGGGACTCTAATTAGTTTGGCTTCTAAAGGCTTTTGTAGTTGGTGTCATACTGGCAACAAGGTTGATTTTTTTTTTTCCCTCCCAACTTTTGAGTCATGGCCAGATTTTGTCAGTTATTTCAGGGTCTTGAAGTCATCACATGGATGGCAAGATTATTTGAATGTCTGTTTATCTGTCTAATAAACATGCCTTTGTAGTACAAATTAGAGACTGGTACAATGTGCCAGATATATGTGTGTGTGTGTAGTTATTAGATATAGAGCAGTTGTGGCCAGTACGGTGGTGACATTCCAGCTATCACTACCATTGTGTGTTTTTTTCTGGGCCTGTGAGCTTTGACACTACTTTCCTGTATAATTGAGGGGTTAGCACTATTCTGGCATTGCAGCCATCTCAAGAAGCAGATGCTAGGGATGCAGGGGGCTGATTGGCCACCCCATGCACTTGGCAAGTGCCTGAATTGGCACTGCCAATTCATGGGATTAAGAAACTTGGAGGTGTGAAATACCCTTAGGTCTGTGAGCTAATTGTTGGTGCCCCTTCAGGGCCCCTCTAAAGGAGTTATGTAGATGGAATTAAATTTCTTTCAGTGGGAGAGAACTCAATTCCTAAGAGGAAGTCTGAAATTAACTCTTAGACTGCAGGACTTACTGATGTCTCTGAAGGATCTAGAAGGATGGAGCTGCAATAGAAGGAAAGCATGCCATTGTTTTGCATTCTGTTTATTGGAGTATAGATGAACAAATGGGACTGTCTAAGTAACACATATTTTTGTGTAGTACAGGAGTAGAGAAGTATGACTACTATAACTTTTTTTTCTTATCATTTCACTGAGCTCTGTTTTTCTTGAGTAAACTTGAACTGTTTGCCAGGAAATAGTTGCCTCTTCTAGAGTCTCAATATTTATGCAGGTATAGGAAAGGTTTTCATGCAACTTAAGCACTTATTTGTAATTTGATGGAAAATTTTTTAATTTTTAGAATTATTTGTAGCAAATTCTGATGATATATCAAAATACACAGGTTGACTGTATCTCATTGTAGATTCTAAAATGCTGCGTTGTCTTTAGAGTAAAACATTAAAAGAGAATATCCTTTTTTGTTTATTTTAGGGGCAGAGATGTTTTATAATATCATTTGCTGCCTTGTTAATACACAGTATGCCAGGATACTTGATTAACTGAAATTTTAAAGGGTGACTTATGAAACTTCTTTTTGTTAAAGCTGTATTTATCCTGAATTTGATTTAAAGCTGATAGTCTGTCATGGAAAATTGAAATGTAATTACTTCTAGCTCTTAATATTTAGATTATACACTATGTTTGGCTTCCCATTTCATTTTCATCAAATGCACATAAAAGATAAAAAGAAAATGTGTGTAAACTTCCACCACATGAAAAACAGAGGCATTCCTATTCGTAAGACACTTACATGTCACTTCACATTTTCTTTCTTTCTTACTTTTTTTTTTTGAGACGGAGTTTCGCTCTTGTTACCCAGGCTGGAGTGCAATGGCGCGATCTCGGCTCACCGCAACCTCCGCCTCCTGGGTTCAGGCAATTCTCCTGCTTCAGCCTCCTGAGTAGCTGGGATTACAGGCACGTGCCACCATGCCCAGCTAATTTTTTGTATTTTTAGTAGAGACGGGGTTTCACCAAATTGACCAGGATGGTCTCAATCTCTTGACCTCATGATCCACCCGCCTCGGCCTCCCAAAGTGCTGGGATTACAGGCTTGAGCCACCGCACTCGGCCTGTCACTTCACACTTTCTAGTAGAAAATATATGTTTTTACATGCATAGTTTATGTAGAAATATGTTAGTTTTTACATATGTAAGTCATTCTGGAGAGAAATGCTCAATAATCTGCCTGATAGTCTTTTGTCTTTTTTTAATACAGAGAAAAAAGGCTTTAAGGAAGGTGTTGTGACAATTGAGATGCTGGATTTCTTTCCCTTTTTTCTTTTTTTTTTTTTCAGAGACAGGTCTCGCTCTGTTGCCTAGGCAGGCTGGAGTACAGTGGCGCCATCATAGCTCACTGTAACCTCCAACACCTGGGCTTAAGTTATCATCCAATCTCAGCCTCCCAAGTTCCTGGGACTACTGGTGCACACCACTACACCCAGCTAATTTTTCTATTTTTTTGTAGAGCTGGGGTCTCGCTGTGTTACCCGGGCTGGTCTTGAACTCCTGGATTCAGGCAATCCTCCTGCTTTAGCCTCCCAAAGTGCTGGGGTTGCAGGCATGAGTCACTGCACCCAGCAGATTCTTTCTATTAAAGGAGAGTTTGAGTCAAAGGAGAGAGCTCCTGGTCTCATCTGACCTCTTTGGTTGCCACTTGGCTGGCCATGTTTATCAAGGTGAATATGTGGGAGTGAGCAAAGGGTGGGGAATGTGAGTAACAGTACAGCTACTCATGCATGCACCTACACAAACAGGATAGACAGTGTAACTATCTTTTGCAGTATGTTCATGGTCATTATTAAATCAGAAATGAGGGTTGGGAGAATGTACTGATGCCTATCCCTATGTCTTTATTCTATATTTAAGTTCCTTACAAGTTCTGGTAGCTCATGCTGTTAACCTTCCTGGTGGTATTCACAGTCTTTGTAGTGTTTATGTCCTTGTCCTGACCTTTTCTTTTCTGAAACAGACTTATATTTTCTTCTTTTTTTGCTTGAAAAATAGAGACTGGAGGATGGTGGGGATTGGGATTTGAGATTTTTGTTAGGGGATTTTGCTCCCCTCCAAATCACTAATGAATTTTACAGTTGAGTTACCAGCTTTGTTGTACTAAAATATTTTTCTTAGTCAAAATGTATACCAAAGAGTAGGCTGTATAGGAATCCAGCTAGGAAGAACCCATGAGAAGTATGTCTATTCCCAGGACTGCTGGGTTTTGCCCTTTTACCCTCAACTCCCTTCACACTTTTAAAAATAAACCACAGATTTGATTTCACAGAAATTGCATCTGTGTATAATGATGTGCCTTTATTTTGTGCAGTAAGCTTTTTTTTTTTTTTGGTCATTTGGAAACAAGGATTAGTTTTTATGCACTGTCACTATTATAGGCATGCATAAAAAGTGAATCCTGTTTATGCTCTAGAAACTGCTTACATTTTAATTTAAATAATGTACCTTTGCAATTTTTTTTAAAGGTAGTATCTTCCCCAGCAGATGTTGCTGAAAAAGCTGACAGAATTATTACAATGCTGCCCACCAGTATCAATGCAGTAGAAGCTTATTCTGGAGCAAATGGGATTCTAAAGTATGTATTTCTCAACTGTCGTTATTTTCTTCTTAGGATAGTTCATGAATTTCACTTGTTAGAACCATTAGGAAATTACAGTTTTGTTTGTTAAACCTTTCTATACTGTTTCCTATTTTCATAAAGTGAATAGTGTGGTGGGTTTTCTCTTTGTAAAAGGTTTATTTTTTTCACTGATGTCAAGTATGTGACATTGTGAATAAATTCTTTTGGTTCTGTTTCTTTCCTTTAACTCTTGCATTAAATTTACCCTTTTGTTGGTAACATGTTTAAGAGACTTTTAAAGCTTACATTTTAAACTGTGCAACTATTAATAATAAAATTTTCTTACAGCTTATAGAAATTCAGGAAAAACGTTTTATGAAAAATATAGTCAAACATTGGAAAGAACACCATTGTTAAACATTTTATTATGTGAAAAAAGTTATTGTATGTCCTATGGGTTAGTACATCTGTAGTATGAACTTTGGGAAGTTGGAATTACTTTGGGAAGTTGGAATTAAGGTTAGCATAGCTCTTTATGTCAGAGGTTGGAAATTATTTTTGGGAAGAATCAGACTTTGTCAATGACCTTGAGCAGTAGGATGTAAATAACTCCCACAAACTTGGCGTTCTAGTAATGGAACACTAGGCATAAATTGGTTAAGTAAAATATAGCTTAGGTCAGAGTTTCCTAACCAGTGCCTATCTTCCCTGGCTCTAGAAATTTTTTGGTTAATTGCTGCTTATTGCCAAACCCTTGCGGTTATGTTAGGATGTCAGTGGTTGAACTCCTAACTTAGTTTTCTCATCTCACTGTTTCTATTCCTAACTTATTTTGTTACTCAGTTTCAGCAAAAAGCTAGAGCAAACTGTAGATGCTGTCTGTAGTCACATGAAGGGCTAAAAGAAAGGGTTTAATTTCATGAAACTGTAATATGTGAAATTTGAAGTTTTTGATAACGGAATTGTGTTAGAAAACTAACCAACTTGGAAGGAAGGAAGCAAAAGACACTTGGATATTAGGCAGAAAACTGATAAGATAAATATTTAGATTTCAGGGAAGGTTAAAAGACACTCATTTTGAATGGAGCTCTCAGGGCCCCAGTGTGTGTGGTCCGGAGACATCCTAGCTGTCCTATTACCTGGCCTGTTTCAGTTATGGTCCTGCTTTACCTCTCAAGGAAAAGTTGCTAAAAAGAGGAGATACAGCTCTGCATTTGTTAATATCCTTTGTTAAGGTATATAGTGACTAGCTACCAGAACAGTTTTGTTCAGGGAGTGTTTTTAAAAAGTTTGGCTTTACATTGAACTATAATTTGCTTCTTATGGGTGGTTCTTTATTTTTTTCTGGGTGAGGAGCATTTCCACATACCCAGTGCATGTATAATTTTTAGGATGATTTTCCATTTGTTTAAAGGTTTAAGATCTTAAAATATTAAGATCACAGATTGATAAACAATTTTTTTTAGGTTAAAGAGAAACCTATTTCTCTTCTGTGAAATATACCCAATCATTGCATTTGAATTGTAACAATTCATATGTCTATAATTGTTGTTTAAAGACTTTTAAATATATGTATTTTTCTTTTTATTTTGAATTGGTTTTCCTATGTTGCCTAGTCTGGTCTCCAATCCATGGCCTCAAGTGATCCCTCTGCCTTGGCCTCCTAGAGTGCTGGGATTACAGGCATGAGCCACCATGCCTGGTTATGTGTAAACCATTTTGTGGGCTATTTTTTAAATAGATTTTTCTTTTTAGTAGTTTTTATCAATGATTTTTCTATTTTCTTCTTCAGTATTTATATTTATTCAGTTTTAATTTTCTAATCATGATTCCATGTCTTCTGCGTTAGTATACCTATAGTAAGAACACTTTGGAATGTTTGGCCAGGCACAGTAGCTCACACCTGTAATCCCACCACTTTGGGAGACCAAGGCAGGATGATTGGTTGAGCCCAGGAGTCCAAGATCAACCTGGGCAACATGATGAAGCCTCATCTCTATATAAAATTTAAAACTTAGATGGGTATGGTGTCATGCACCTGTGGTCCCAGCTACGTGGGAGGCTGAGATGGGAGACCCTGTCTTAAAAAAAAAAAAAGAACTTTGTAAAGTTTGAATTAAAGGTTAGCCATAGCCCTTTAAAGAAATTATAATTTAGGTTAGAGTTTCTTAGCCAGTGAAAATAGACACTGCCTTATAGATAACAAGGGAATTACGTAGGTATATATTTTGTACTTACAGTAAAATGAAAATTTTTTCTGTAAGAACACCATTTAAATATTGATGCAAAATATGATATATGAAGAATCCTTTCCCCTTATAGTGTTTATATATGTTACCATAAAAATCCAAAAAGACTGTGATATTTCCAGATTCTTTCATATATTTTCCTTTCTACCTGTTTGATATTTTATTTTGTCATTAAAAAGTTATAATTATAAAAGAATATGCCATCTTGACACAAATGGCTAGATTTCAATTGCTTATGTTTATTCTTCATAGAGGAAATAACATGGATATATGAAATTGGCTTGTTAAAGACAAATAAATTACTTTTTAATGACTGAACTATTTTACAAACAAAAATTTAAGTCCTGCCAAATACCCTTTTAAAGTTAAAAGGTGTTTTAAATTGCTTACATCTTAGCCTCATGTTTATTATTATGGTTAGTGTGTATTTTGCCTGAAATCAGAATTTATACCATGTAGTATATTAGATTTTTTTTGAATTTTTTGAAAAAGTTTGGGTTTACTTTTGAACTATAATTGATCTAAAAAGGAACATGAGATTTTAAAACCTGTTCTAATTAATAATGCTTTTAATACTAAACTAAAAACCTGCTTGACATATGGCAGCTTTTTAGCAGATTCTAATTCTGTAGGTAGTTGCATGAAATTTTTACTCAGAGTTGTAAACTAGAAATATTTTTATTTATTTATTTAGAAAAGTGAAGAAAGGCTCATTGTTAATAGATTCCAGCACTATTGATCCTGCAGTTTCAAAAGAATTGGCCAAAGAAGTTGAGAAAATGGGAGCAGTTTTCATGGATGCCCCTGTTTCTGGTGGTAAGCGGTAGCTAAAATATGTGCAAACCTATTTCTGTTTGTCAAAAGTAGCAGTTGTGGTTTTGGGGTACCATATAGTTTTGTGGTAGTTATTTTTAGACCTGTTATAGGATTCTCACTCATTAAAAATAAAAACAAACTGACATGTTATTTAGTACTCTTAAGTCTAAATAACATTGTTAGTCTTAAATTCACATAAAAGGATGTCACAACTTTGAAGTGTAGTGAATTTTTGGTCCATTTATTGTGGATAGGAATACATCAGTTTTTAGAAAAAAATTTTTGGAACTCATCAAAAAAATAATTAGTTTAAATAATCCTGTAACTTTTGAAGAAATTGAACAAGTGGTTAAAAAAAAGAAAAAAAAATCATTTCACAAAGGAAACTTGGCTCAGATTATTTTACAGATGAATATTACCACAATTTCAAGGAGCAGATCATCTAAATTTTTATACAAACTTTCCCAGACAATAGAAAAAGAGGAAATACTTCCTCATTCTGTAAGACCTGTATAACTCTGATGTTTACACCAGATAGAAATGTTATAAAAGAGAAAAATACAGGTTTATTTTAGTCATGAATATACATGTAAAAACTTAAAAAATATATATTAGCAAGATAAATCCAACCATGTATTAAACACTATAACCAAGTTTTGTTTAGCCAATATATGCTGAGATGGCTTAATTTTAGAAAATCTGTGCATATAATATACCATGTTAACATGGTTATAAGTTATATGATTGTCTCATTTGGAAGAAAAGACTCACTAAAGAAATTCTAAAAACTTACTATCAAATCATACATTAATAGCAGGTATCAGGGTAGTTTGGAATGGCAGGATCATAGCATGGTTTTTCTGTAATTTCCAAGTTTTCCAAAATCACTGTGTAACCAGAATTACTGTGTAAACTTTTATATTTATGTATTTGTAGCAGTATAGCAGTAGATAGCAGAATACAAATTTTATTCCAATTGCATTAAACTTGATTGTGGACTTTAGAATTAAAAAGTAAAATATAATTTAAATCATTTTGTATTTTTTTTAAAAAGAACTTAATGATCTTGTAAAGGTACCTCATATCCCAAACAATTTTTGAATGTAAGTGGAGGAATAAATAATTTCTAGCTCTTCTGATTGATATATTGGATTACTTAAACAGGATTTAGGTATAAAGATTTATGATGGGGTATAGGTATGTTGATCAAAAGTACTTACAAAATACTAAAAATAAGCAATTTTAAGGTTGGTGTTAGTGTGATGTTTATTGGATGGAATTAATAAACTGAATAGGTCTTTCTTAGAGTGGTTCTACAGTTGAATTTGAAAATTGATATGGTACAAATGATCTTGCCATTGATTTTCTTTAGCTTCAAGAGTACAACCTGGAATTATAATCTGATAATAAATACCAATTTGATTTTTAAAATACAATCTGAGAAAACTTTGGAATTATTCTTTTGTTCTTAACAAGCAATTTTTAAACTTTGGTTTTTCGTTTTAGGGCATAAAAATGCTAATATAATTGAATGCACTTGAGTCTGCACCATATAGTAGATTAAAAGCTTTGTGCAGGGATGGTTTGGGATAATTTATTGGTTGACACATGATCATTACGAGGTTAACTAGTATATCATAGCAGCTTATTTATATTGGTCTTAGCGTTATTATGCTTATATTTTTTAACATGGTTTCTTACAAACGGTTCCACTTCTCTACTTAAATAGACTGGTTTAAAAATGACTGTATTTTAACTAAATAAAGTTAAATGAAAGTGTTTTAGGTCCACTAGGTTTGATTGATTGTTGCATGGTGACAGACCAGTGTGCAGATGCAATGGGATTTGCAGTAGAAAAACAGTTTAATAATTGTAGGTCAGTCAAATGAGGAGACAGAGGAACCTTCAAATTTGCCTCCCTGAAGGGCTTGGGGATGGAACTTTTAAAGGGTCTGAACAAGTAGGTGATGGGCTGAAAGGTGGGGATTGCTGATTGATCAAGAAGCAAGGGGTGAAGTCCTGGGACAGGGAGATGAAGAAATGGCAGTCCTGTACAGAGTTGGTTCCTTGGTTGAGGTCTTTAGACTGGTCGGCTTCAGCCATTCTGCTGGAATTCAGGATCTGAAAAACACCATAAGCAGTTCTAGGGTAAAAAGGTCCAGTGTCAGAGATTCTGTCTATAGGAACAATGAGGGAGCACGTGGTCAGCATGCCACATGACTCTTGGTTAGTTAGCAGCTACAGGGAAGTGGGTTGAGGTACCCCAGTGAACCCTGGTCAGTACCTGACTATAATTCTGCCTAAAGACTGGCTTGCACTTCTCCATCAACTCTGTGAGGGTGGTTTCGAAAGGGCTGGGGGAAAAGCATGGCTTAGATACCCAAAATGGGCCCACAGTTTTATAGAAGTCCTGTTGCTCATCAGTCTTGAAACATGGAATTTTTGAGATCATTTGAATAAAACTGAAGAATTTCTCCCCATCCCTTTCTCTCATGTCTTCATCTATTTCCTTTTCCAGACTTTTAGAAATGCATCATGGATTTATATATAGGTACATACAGATAGAATAGTATTCTAAAACTGTAAATGGGAACATAACTATACTTTTATTATTCTGTCATTAGTATTTTAAAGAGCAGTTAAAAAAGAAACTCAGATGAATTTGAAATATTGATTTTTGAGAAGCAATTGGTTTCTTCAGTCAAGCATTTCCCCCTACTTCCTGCTAAGTATTATTCTCGAGAGTAAAGTAAGAATTATTACTTAATCATTTTTCTAGCCTGTGGAGTAACAATTTGAAAATTTTCCTCTGGTTTCATTTTGATACTTAGTAGACCCACTGTGTGATGGCTCCTGCATCCATTATCCTTATTAGAAATAATACCATTGTATTTAAGTGCTATGTGACTTCTTTTAAAAATCAAACATAAGTAATGCTTAAACTGTTTCATTTATCACCCTGAAACCAGTATGAAGAACCATTTTAATATTGATGTGGTTATCACTTTGTAGTATAGATAGTAGTTTATAAAGCACTTTGGCATGCCTCAACCTATTTGGTGTTTCTTTTTGTTTTTGTTTTAATTTTAATTTTTGTAGGTATATAATAGGTATATATATATTTACGGGGTAGATGAAATGTTTTGATACTGGCATGCATTGCGTAATAATCACATCATGTAAAATGAGGTTGGTGCTTCTTTTTGAAGCTGTCAAACTGTACATCTGTTTTTGAGATGGAGTCTTGCTCTTTTGCCTGGGCTGTAGTGTAGTGGCATAATCTTGGCTCACTGCAACCTCTGCCTCCCGAGTTCAAGCAATTCTACCTGCCTTGGTCTCCTGAGTAGCTGGGATTACAGGTGCCTGCTTCCACACCTGGCTAAGTTTTGAATTTTTTAGTAGAGACAGGGTTTCGCCATGTTGGCCAGGCTGGTCTTGAACTCCTGACATTAGGTGATCTGCCTGCCTTGGCCTCCCAAAGTGCTGGGAATACAGGTGTGAGCCACCATACCTGGCCTCAAACTATACATTTTTGTTAGAGCCCACATCATGCTGTATTTATAGCCTATGATTTTTTCCTCTTGAGTTTAAGCTTTTTAAGTTTAGGGAGTAAGTTTTTTTCCCCAATTAAAAAAAATTTAATATTGAATATATGTATAAGATATTTATAAAACATATGTGAGGTATAAAGTATAAGTATACATTGAGCTAATACGTACCCCTACTCAGTTTAAGAAATAGAGCCTTACTGTTTATTACCTTGGAAGTTCTTATTTCTCCTATCCTATTTTCTTTTTTCTCTGATGAGAGGTAACCAGCATCCTGAATTTTGTGTCTTATTCCCATGCTTTTCTTTATAGTTTAACTCCATATGTTTTTATTTCTAAACAGTAGTTTATTTTCCACTATTGGAACATTATAGAAATGGAATCATAATGAGCATATTCTCTGACTTGCTTTTTCACTTTACATTGTATTTCTGAGTTTCATCCCTGGTGTTACTATAGCCCCTGGCTTACTTGGCGCCTTCGTGAGAATTAGAATGGGGTACCTCTTGCCAGGCGGAGTGGCTCATGCCTGTAATCCCAGCACTTTGGGAGGCCGAGGTGGGCAGATCACCTAATGTCAGGAGTTCAAGACCAGCCTGACAAACATGGAGAAATCCCATCTCTACTAAAAATAGAAAATTAGCTGGGTGTGGTGGTGCATGCTTGTAATCCCAACTACTCAGGAGGCTGAGGCAGGAGAATTACTTGAACCTGGGAGGTGGAGGTTGTGGTGAGCCAAGATCACACCGTTGCACTCCAGCCTGGGCAACAAGAGCAAAACTCCATCTAAAAAAAATAAAAAAAAAAAAAAAAAGAGAGAGAGAGAGAAAGAAAGGAAGGAAAAGAAAGAAGGAAGGAAAAGATGAAGGAAAAGAAAGAAAAAAAAGAGGTATCTCTCTGTACCGATATAGCCCTTCAGGTGAGCAAAATTAAACTTTGTATAAAGAAAAAGGTACTCCTTTCTCTGGACACATGTAGCCCTATGTCAGCATTCGTGGTTTGACACACTGAATGTGGATTAAATGTCAGCCCTTGCTCACCCCTTTGGCTAGATGCCCACGTGTACATAAAATGTATTGCCATTATGTGGTTGTTACATGTAGTTCATTAATTTTAGCTGCTCTGTAGTATTCCTCTATATAAATACATCACTGTTTCTTCTTTCTACTGTGATATACATTTGGGTTATTTCCAAGTTTAAAAAAATATTATTTGCATTCCTATACACCGTGGAAAGGTGTCTTTTTTTTTTTTTTTTTTTTTTTTTTAGACAGAGTTTCCTTTCTGTTGCCCAGGCTGGAGTGCAGTGGTGAGATCTTGGCTCACAGCAACCTCTGCCTCCCAGGTTCAAGCGATTCTCCTGCTTCAGCCTTCCGAGTAGCTGGGATTACAGGTGCCCGCCACCACACCCAGCTAATTTTTTGTATTTTTAGTAGAGACGGGGTTTCACCA